TACCACTACTCCCTCTCTCCTGCAATCAAATTCTTTTTCCAGTCCCCTCCTCACTTTACCTGTCACTCCAGTAAATCCAAACATTTCACCCCATCTTTTCCTACCACATCATCTACACCCACCTCTTCCTCTGTATCCCCTCTTCTTACAAGAAAACCTTAGTTTTTCAGATCTCCTTACCCAACTCTCCTCCAGAAACTCTTGAAGATATCCAAAAATTCCTAAGCATGGCCCTAGATAATGCTCTGCCCCCCTATCCACCCTACGATTCCTCTATTCCTATTTGTTCTACATTTAAAGTATTTGATATCCATCCTCCTCCTCAAGTTCCCCCTTCCCGTCTTCTTGCTCACATGACTCCATTATGTCGCAACAGTGTCCTCTGGTTCCTTTCCATCCTGATATTCTTTATGATACTTCTCTTCTGATTTTCTTCTACTTCTCCAACCATTTCTACCCATATTACCCATTGATTGTTAAATAATAGCTCTTTTGCAGTTTTCCTCAGCCAGATACTCTCTATTTGTTTTTATTGCCCTTTACTCAACCCCTTCCCCCTTTTATAAATCCTTGCTGTACTCCAATTACTCTCACCTCTGTACCCTTTTCACTGCCATACTATACTATAGTGCTCTACCTTTGATATGTAACACATTTTATCCTAATCATTAACTTATTTTTACCTTTTTCACCACAATACTTAACTGTACTGGTATATTACCTCTGATGTCTAGTACATGTATTTGTTTTAACCATTAGCCAGTTGCAGACCTCTGATGTCACTTTCTGGGCCTTTTGCTGTAGGTAACCTATAATGCTATAGTTCCTTTAACAGTTAAAGATATCAGGTTCATTTGAATTGATGTTATTTAATTTTTATTCATTACCTTTCCCAGCTCATTTTTATATCAATTATGTTATGCAAACTAAACATTTGAGCAGTTATTTAAAAATGGGTATTTGATGATGGAAAATTGCTCTTTTTCTGCCTAAGAGTAAAGGATATAACAATAAAGTATGACCCTAATGAGAAATCTCAACTGAATTAGAATTGTGAAACCACAGTAGCTGCATAGTGCAACCAAAACCAAGGAAGACAAAAATAAGAGATAAGGCCCTCCCAGGTAGCCAACTACTAGCACCCACCAGGGAAAGCCTTAGTATCCAATCTGAAGGCAACTACAATCAGTAGAGCCCAGGTGAAGGGAGTGGAGTCCATATATCACAGCTCAAAGAAAGAAAGTATTTTTCCATCCTATAAAAAGATCATTTGTTTCCTGTGGGTCTGGTGCTAAGGATGATTAAAATGAAAAAGGAAAGACAGCTAGTCTAAAACAGGCTTCTACAGAACATGTATTGCAAGAAACTAGTAGCTCACTTCAGGGTAATATAGAATAAAGCAAAGTGATACAAACAGGATACCTGCAAGATGTGTATTTAATCAGTCTGGACATAGTCAATAGTATTCAGAGGACATTGTGGCATTGCTGAGTCAGCTGATGGTTCAGTGATTTCTCATTGTAAATTTAATTGTAGAGTAAAGTAAAGTTGATGCCAGCTTGAGTATCTGTCCTGAAAATGAACTTTTATTTCATTTGATTTGAGGCATATATCTTGGTCCATTTTTTTTATATTTCTCATACTTAAAGATTTCAAATACCATTCCATTTCAAAAGTTCCAGAAAGCAATTCTTTGGTTATTCAAGGTAAGATACAAAATGCACAATAACCCCTAGTAATTACTGCACTTGGTTAGATTAGATGATTCAGAGTGAATTGTGTATATATGTTTGGTAATATGAATGGTTTCCTTGTGAGAGATTAACACCATATTAAGGTTCTGTGATGGTAGTCACATCACACATTGCAAATAAATTGGTTTAAAGGTTTATGCATCACTAATGACAATGCAAACAGGTACTGCTACTAAATAGCGTACAACACTGTACTCTCTTTACCCATGTTGGAGTGAGTCATTCCTGGCAACCAGCAAGGCCATAATGGCCATCACATCACATCTCATTGGCACTGTCAGTGGTGAATTTGTTTTATGAATTTCTATAAAGTTTTTTTTTCCTTATTGTTGTTTTGTTATTGTTATTATTATTATTATTATTATTATTATTATTATTATCATCATTATTGTTATTGTTATTATTATTAATTATTATCATTTTTGTTATTGTTATTATTATTATTATTATCATCATCATAATGATCATCGTCGTTTTAATTTTATCAAGCAATAATTATAGTAATTAAAAAAATCATAAAAAATAAGGAATCAAGTTAATAGGTGATGTCAGGTAGGCCTAGTAGTTGACTCCTTTATGAGTAAACATGTATGAAGCCATCTGTGTGAAAACAGAAGTAATAAAACTAAGCCAGAGTGGACAGTTCATTCATACATGCAGTACCATCATCATGAAAAACATAAAACTTTTGCATATTTTTTTCAGTGCAGCTGGGAAGACCTCTGGGTCTTCACCCAGCTTAAAAACATAACTAAAGCAATTCAAATGCATAGCCTACCTCTTCATAATTATATAGAAAATAGATTAGGCATAGTTAATCTTTAAATTTTATTGAATGGATGTCCTGAGCAACACAAAATGTATCCATTGAGCCTTAGTTTATGTTTAAAGCTTTAAGGTACACAAGAGTTCCACCCAGCACCCTCCTTACCAATATTGTAGTGAGTCATCCCTGGCAATGGTGATTAAAATTAAACAAATCCTTGATTCCTTGTATGTTGTTTTTTTTGTTTTGTTTTTTAACTATGTAATTTTAGTAACTGTATGAGAATATGAATTATTCTTCATGCATCTCAGGGAAACGTGTTACAAAAATGGGAGTCTTTTCCAGCTAAGGCTCCAACACTTTCTGGAAATAAATAGCTCTTTAGGCCCTACTATCACTACTGAATTACCTTCCTGATCATGAAGAAAAACACTCCAATAATTTTCAATATAGAAGAGAACCTTCAGTGTTCTTAAATACAAGGCAAGTTTGTCCCATATCTGTAATAACTACCACCACAGATAATTCAAATAAGGAACAAAAATTGGAAAGAAATATTACTGTTCTTAAATTTAATTATGCTCATATCTCTCCAGTATATAAGTGTTCAGTATCAGGCAGTGTTAGTACATGTGAAAAGCATTATCTATTTCTATGAACAATGGAAATTTACTTTTTTACTGTATTATTTGCACAAGTGGCATTGCTCAATAGATGAGTGTTGATTTTGCAGTGTCCTTGGTTTGTGCCCAGTTAGCCCCTCACACACTTAGCTGTGAGTGAGTACTGGCATGCTGGCATCAGCATGCTAAAGTCAAAGTCAGGTTGGAAAGGAGCTGGTCACCCTGCTGCATCATCCCATGACTTATTAAGTTCCTTGACAGACATCCTGTACATCCGTTTGGATATGAGACCAACTCTGACTATTATATAAGATTATTATGCAAAATAACATTGTACATTAACAGTCTTCAGTATTTAGATTTCTATCACAGTTTATATATTTAACATGCATTATCATTACTCACCCTCTTTTAGTTTGCTTCTCTGAATTACATGTTATGTTTATGTAGCATCTATGCATATACAATATACAAGACCAGCTTTAAAAGCTGTCTTGATAGATTATTTTCTCCTGATAAAGGTAGATGTTTAATCTTAACCCTGTCCATGCAGTGATTTATCCCAAAGTAGTATTAAGTAAAAACAACATATATTTATTGGTAAGCCAGCAATATTTGTGAAATTAGCAGAAGTGATATTATATTTTGAATTCAAATAAGCTAACTGCAATCCAGTATTGTGGTATGTGTATGACTGGGACAAACAAATAAAAAATGATATTTGAAAATATTTTAATAAAATCCTTTATATGAACTGAAAATGAATGTTGTGGGTGAATGTTTAATATTTCTGTGTTAATAGTAAGACTGATAGTTATGGTTTCTACCTGCTTTTTACATATTTTTGTTTTGAATATTTTCTCTACAAAGTTGATTTATAACTGGAAATCTATGTCTTGCATGTTTTTTCTCCCTCAGAGAACCCCGTCAGAGTTCACCACTAAGCATCGGCAGTGATTGAAATGCCAGTTTCATCTCATATATCCACTACACTGGAGGAGCATACCTATTTATATGTACATATGTAGGTATATAGTGGCATCAAGAGCTGTGACAGACCCCGAGGTAATGCATGGATGCTGGCCTTATATAGTTATATGCTTTCTTTCCAAAAATAATATTCTTGTTTACACTTCGTAGGGACTGATGGTGTTGGAGATCAATTTTACTCCCTTTCAAATCATTGTTTACTAGCAATAATAATATAATATTAATTTCAGCAACATCAACAATTGATAAAAAAAATCCTTTTCATGCTTTATTGATTCACTAATGATGCTATTGAAGTCAGTTCTTTTTGCAAACTCACTTTAAGTGCATTAAATTGCCAGCTCTGTCAGCCTTCCTTGTGTCAAGCAAAGGAGGTAACCTTTCACATAGATGATAGAGATAGTAAATTTGATGAAGACTATCCTGGGCTAGCTCTCAAGAAGTTAAAATAAAAATTTCATTATTCTGATATCTAGTAAGCAAGAAAAATTTATGTTTTGTCGTTTCAAAATGTATGCAGTAAAGTAACATATGGAGACAACAAATTTTGAGGGCCCAAGGACTCGTTACCCCCTTTATCCCCCTCTCAATGCTACTGTATGTATGGGAGTATACAATATATAACTACACTATGTTTGGTTCCATACAATTTATACTAATGTTTAAAAAAGCCTGGGATTTTTCTGAGGGTTATTTGAAGATAGGAGATTTATAATACATGGGCAATTTGAGTCAATCTATGTTAATTCATATGAATTGTCACTTAAATATTCAAAATAATTTTTCTTTCATAGTTCCATGTATTTATGAATTACTTCAGAGTAGTAACAGACAGCAATGGTCAGAAAGTGGAATAATTATCAAGCA